AAAACAACAACAAAAAATTCCTTTAATTGACACTCTACTTTTAATCCTGAAAATTCAGTGTGTATTAAAATTGTGCAACAATATTTTATGATTAATATGTAAGATAGACTCATATTTTAGGCTTATTAACAGAACTTTCGCCTATATATGAATGTCATGCAGGATACAGGAGAATTATTTTTGCATGTATCTGTCCCTTACATTTTGTCTGTCTAATATTCTCGGCTGCCAGCTACTAACTGCCAATAGTGCCCCACCATCATTGTGATAATAATTTAAAAAATGGTCTTATAAATTTCCAAAATGCCTACTTATGTCAAGTAACAACACAATATCCTGAACGTTCCTAATGATGACCCTCAGCATGCTTTTAAACAAAAGTACTTGTTTGTTTTAAGCTCCTTGTGAGTAGTGACTGATAGCAGTGTTATTACTAGCATCTAGTACAGGTCCTAACATTTATTGATGCCTTGATAATGTCAGCTGAGTGAATGAACTGGATCTTCCAGAGTAATTTTATATAACAGGAGCAGTATGTACATCTACCACCTACCAGTTTGTTGTACTGTAGTGACTTCATATAGCTGGTAAAACACAGATAAACAACTTTCTGGTATTTTCTCCTTTTGGCTAAGATCCGTCTGATATCAGCAGTAATATTTCTTGTTTAACATCCTCTTCTGAATCCAACTTGAACTTCTGGCAATTCCCTCTCGATGTACGGCTACAGCTATTTTTGAATTATCTTCAGCAAAATTTTTTCTGGCAAGTGATATTAATGATATTGTGCAACAATTTCCACATTCTCTTTAGATAACAATAGATATCCTTTATTCAATACTTCCTATTACCACGCATTTTGCTAAGGAATTCACATAATTGTTTTATCTAATCGCTTCAACAACTCCATGAGCTACACTTATATTTAATAACTTGTTTGAGGTTATTCAGTGAGGAAGTTTGTAAGTGACAGCTAGGATTTGAATCCAGGTCTATATGATTCCATAGATCATGCTTCTGGCCACTACACCATAAAGATATTGTCTATGATTTAAAACAGGTAATCTTTAATATATGAAGGAAATTTTCTTCTGTTCCTAACTTTCTAAGAGTTTGTCTTTAATAAATTCAGAAATGTTAACAAACATTTTGGCATCATATGATTTATCTTATTCGATTTATTGATGAACTTATTTTATAATTTCAAACAATCCTTGCTTTGTTGTCATTCCTATATTTGATTTGGTATATAAACTTAACAATGTACTGTGAATTTATATTTCTAGAATTGTGTTTAGGAGTTTTGTATCTTTATTAATAGGTGTGATTGGTCCATAGTTTTAATTTGTGTTATCTGTGTTGGGATTTGCTGTCAGGGTTTTGAGAAAAAAAAAAAAGGTGGAAAGTGTTCCATAATGAGGGTGCTTTTGAACAAATTGGAGACCTGGTGGCATAGTGGTTAAGAGCTCTTCTGCTAACCAAGAGGTCAGCAGTTCAAGTCCACCAGCCACTCCTTGGATACCCTAGAGGGCAATTCTACTCTGTCTTATAGGGTCATGTTGAGTCAGAATCGACTCAATCGCAACGGGTTTGATTTATTTATTTATTTTTGAAACAAATTATATAGCATAAAAATTATCTGTTTTTCTGGTAGTTTTTTTGGGGGTGAGG